TGGAGGTTGCTGTGAGCTGTGATGCCATGGCACTCTACCCAGGGGGATAGCTTGAGGCTCCGTCTCAAAAAAAAAAAAAAAAAAGAGCATATTGCACCCCATTTCTGAGACCTGAAAGTGGTTCCCCAGACAGGGTGGGGTTGCTTCCTTCAGATAGCGTGTTGACTCCCCTGACCTGACATTTGAGGAAGTGTCAGGCTTGGAATCTCAGTGTCCCCGCCCCATGTTCAGGCAGCAACTTTGAGGAAATTGATGTTGAACCTGCTGGGTGGGGAAGGAAGGTGTGCTAAGACAGCCTGGCCCTCCTGGTGCTGCCCAGGTCGCTGGCCTGGACCCTTCTGAGGGCACAAGACCCTTCAGACCTGCCCTCTTTCCATTTGCAAGTGGAGGCTTGAGGAACACACACAGGCAGCTGGATTACCCCTGCAGTCATCGCCTGGCAGCCAAATGATGGGACCAAACCGGGAGCAGACCGGCTGGGGCAGGAGCTCTCGGCAGGGGTGGCTTCTCAGGAACTAGTATAATCCTCAGGGAGCGGGGAAGGGGGGTTTCTGCAGCATCTTTCCTACGAGGAATGCATCTCCCTCTCCTGGGCAGGCTGTGTGTGTGCGTGTGTTGTGTGTGAGTGTGGATGCTTGTAAGTGGTGGGTGTGTGTTTTGTGTGTGCATTTGTGTCATGCACGCATTGTGTGTGTGTTGAGTGCACTATTGTGCAGCATGTGCATTTGTGAGTTGTATGTGCATGTATGTGTGTTGTGTGTGTATGTTTGCGTTGATGGCATCTCAGCCTCCCTGGGAGGAAGCGTGAGTCCTTTGGGCTCTGGTGAGTCATACCTGGTGGGCTTGCCCTGCAGCAGTGACTCACCATGCAGGAAGGCAAGACCCAAAAGTCTGCTCACTCTGTCAAAACAAAGGATCCAAGATAAAGGTTTGGCTATTGAAGATAAGGCCACTGACTCATCCCAGGAGGTCAGTATGACTATGTGTGTCCTCCTAAGAATACAGACTTGGAAAGAGGTAGTTAAATAACAGCATCTATCCAGGAATGAATTTCTCTGGCTTTATCCCTCTCCTTTCATGGTGGTGGTTGGTTTCTACTCCCACCCTCTGCAAAAGCTCAGGGTCACCCTTCCACTGCCCATCGGGGATGCAGACCCCAGCCTGGCCTCACCACAGCATAACAGGGGCCTTACTGCTCTCATTGGCTCCTTCCCACCTCTTGCCTCTTCCTTCCTGGATTCCTTCTCCTTCCCAGCCCTAAGCTTCATCTGCCTCCAGAAGATGGCCTCCCCATGCCCACAGGGCCAGCACATGCCTGCAGAGAGAAAAGACAGCTCCATGCTTTGAGTGCCCATGTGTGCTGGGCTCCTGCTCCCTCATTACCCCTCCCAGCATGTGCCCTGTCTGGGCAGCATGTGACATTAGATCCTTTTAGAGAGTGGGAAACCAAGCCTGCAGGTGGCTAAATAACGTACCTTAGGCCACCCCACTGGGCAGAGTGGCAGTCACATGCAGCCTGGGCTTCTCCAAGAGCTACCTTCATCCCTGTTCTCACTCTCCATCCTGCTCACCCCTTGGACCCCAGCTGCCATCTGTTAAAATGACATCTGTGAGGTGAGATGCCCATGGAAATTCATCACTGGCATTTGCTTACTGTTCTGGGAATAGGAAAGGTGGCCTTGCTGGTGGGAGGGGATGCAGATTTAGGGTGGGAAGAAGTGACTGCTTTGGACACCCTTTCTCATTGCCCAAGAGTAGGGGGTGCTCTGGACCCTGCCTGCATGCCAGGGTTTGCAGAAGCTTGTTCTGTGCAAGTCTCAGTGCGAGAGGGGCCTGGCCTGGAAGGGTTGTTAATAGCACGCAACAAATCAGAGTCAAGGATGATATTCCTTAGCTTTAATCAGATCCTGAGTAAGTTTAAGAGTTGTCTTTATATAAAAACACTGGCTGAGTTGGTTTCTTTCCCAGGAATCTGGGCTAGTACAGGTCACACTTGCTGGTCATTTGTGTGCACTGCATTTATTTGACGGTGGCCAGCTATGCCTGTAGTCATTAAACAACCTGCTACGGCTCGGCGCCTATAGCTCAACTGGCTAAGGCGCCAGCCACG